TGGTTAGTGCTTTTACTTGAAAGCTCAGATTTGATTATCATCGTTTTCTGGTTTACTGTATTATTATTCACATCTTTTTTTTTTTTTGCTTTGATTGTTTGCTTTGATTGTTCAGTATTTACGCTTACCATTAGTTAAATACCAACAGTTTTATTATAACGAGATGATATATTTTGTTTAAATATTTTAGTTTTTGACTATTATTAAAACTATTTGCCTTAGTGATGTTGGTAAATAAAAATAAATTGGTTAAATAAAAACAAACCTAATGTACCTAAATGTATTGTTAAAAAATATTCAATAATTAATGATATCGACTGATATGAACCATGATATTGTGATAATTGTTTTTTTGCAATATCGCCCAGCCCTAAGTGAACGCTGTCCTATGTTTTATTAATGATAAGGATTGTGGGTTTATTAAATGTGCACACTTGGAACATTAATAACATATTAAAACCAAACATGTTTGTGAGAAGCGAAGGGTGAGTTTATGATGACGAATATTTTATCTTTTGGGTGAACTATCCCTTTAATATAAATACACATGTGAAGCTGGTGGGTTTTTTCTTCTATGTGCGTTTTCTGTAAGGGTAGAGCTTTGATTTAGGTGGTTGTAAAAGAAGTCAATTGAAAACTGTGGGCTATTATTACCCTTTCACACTCTTGCTTGTTTTAGTGGTCTGCAGAGTACAGTGAGAACGTCTGTTAGTGGTCTGTCTCATTGATTGTGAGTGGAGAACCTCAGGGCTCGAGGGAGAACACTAGACTTTCACAGCCTTCTCAGATCTGTTTCAACTTCACAAAAAAAAAAAAAAAACCTTCGCAATCAAAGTCCCTAAAAAAATATTTGAGCCTCACTGTCATCAGAGCTCAGAGAGTGAAACGATAGTAGTGTAGTAGTTTGTGTGTGTAAATGTAGAAATCTTGACAGACTTCAGAGGGGAACCTGCTGTCAAATAAAAAAATGAATGCAGATCATCGCTGCCTTTCTATAGTGTGCTCCTGAAGAAACCAATATAATGTGTTCAACCGAGATGTAAAAAGAAACAAATCAAACTGAGCCTATAATTAACTATGAAGCAATTAAGACTTTAAATTTTGCAATTAAAACGCTGAAGTAAACTGTTTTCCGTCTGTAGAATAAAATGTTAGCATTAACCTTGTAGCCTCAAGGTACCCACTGCTTTCTAATAACAGAATTATGCAGGATTTAAGAGGTTGTGAAATGTCAAAACTGATTAAATACTGAAAACTGGTGCACCATTTGAACTGAACTTGTTTTAAATAAACAAGTACCCAAACGTTACAGGAATGTTAATTCAGTTAGCCTGTCGTTCATGTAAATTGTCATAATGGCCTTTTGGAAAATGGCATTTGGATGTTTAACTAGATTGTAAGATGTAAAAAAAAAAAAAAAAAAAAAAGGATTTTTTTAACCCTGGAAAATAGAAGTCTTTAAATGTACAAGTATTCAGCAAGAGAATAAAAAACCTTCAAATGCTGCAGAGGTTTATCTGCGAGACTCATAAGTATGATTGATAACTGGAGCTATGAATTAGTACACGCTAGTTTGGAATACTTTGTCCAATATTGTTCCACTCAATGCTACAGTGTGATATTTCCTAGTATTCACTGGTGACCATGGCAGTGCTTTATGTTACAGATCACGCATTCTGTCAACTGAGGGCAGCATTACTGTCATGTTCTTGCATCACAGTATGAACTCACACTTCTATTTATTCATTTTTTATTATAACTTCTACAATACTATAGTGAAATTAGTTAAATCAGTGATTCCCAAAGTGGGGGTCGGGACCAACTGGGAAGTCGTAGGTGATTTAAAAAAAAAAAGTTGTTTAATAAAATGTAATTTATTAGAATAAAACTATTACAATATTTTAACCATAACCCACAGAAGATAATAATAGTAGTTTTTAATTGTAAAAAAAACAACTAAATGCAAATGAAAAGCCATTAGCCTTTAATTTTTTTTTTCTTATGATCGTTGTGTTTTACGTTAGATTAATAACATAGCAATAGCGTCAGCTGCACCAGATTGATTTTATAGCAACAGGTTAAACTTTCTGACAGCTTTATGGCAATCAACTACATTAAAAATAAATTTGTTGCACTTTTTGGGTTGTCAGTATGCTTTTGTTTATATAGGTCTATTGTTTGTATTAGCAACATTTGTATATTTATAATCACCTCAGAGGAATTTGGGGATTTGCAAGTCACTGGGGTTGTTATTTTAGGGATCGCAGGCAGAAAAGTTTGGGAACCCCTGAGTTAAATGACTTCAGATTACCTTATATATATTTGTGTAATTATGTAATATTGTATGTAATATAAAAGCTATTTTTTTGTAAGATCATTTTAACTATTGTCATTTTATGATCTAAATGACAATGTTTTTTTTATTTTTAGAATTTATTAAAAAATGTCATCTGTATTTTACAGAGCAAAGCATAAATTATGTTTTGCTTAGGCAAAACTAGAAACTGTGAATCCAGAGAAACATATGCAGCTATACATCTATTAAGACACCATTTGAAAACTGATACTAATATAAAGCGTTGTCAAATGATAAAAAAAATAAATAAATGTTATCAATGTGTGTGCTGTGTAAACTGATTATGCATATACAGTTTAAATACACAAAAATACATAAGCAAAAATATACAATTGTTTTTAACATATTTGGAATTATATACAAGTGACTTCAAATGTTGACTATAGATGCATGTGTGTATTTTTATATAAATATACAAGTACACATGCACAAAGCGATCCTTAAGCCGATTTGTAAATTTTATTATTTTTTTTTTTTCTCGAGTGATGTTTAAGGGAGAGAATATTTCTAAACTATAGTTTCAATAATCAATCTAAATTTACTAATAAATTTTGTCTAAAAACTGATGTCATTTACTATGATAACAGTACATAAGATACTAGGATTCAGAATACAGTGCAATTATAGTCTTAACTTGGTTAATTTTGTTAACCTGGCAAATCAGGTTAATAAGCAAGTTATTGGGCAATAGTCGTTTGCTCTGTAGTCAGTCAAGTCAAAAAACAAACAAACAAAAAAAACATTCTTAAGCCTCATTTACACTACGATTGACACACAGCTGCAAAGCGTCAAGCGACCATTTATTTCAACAAAGAGTGACCGACTTCCCATGACCTCTGTCTACCGTGTTAGGGATAATGCGTTATAAGTAACGTGCGTTATGTAACAATACTTTTCCAAAGTAACGATTACATTACTTTTAAAAATAAGTCATATTATTTGAGTTACTTAAAAAAAAATGTAAGTTAGTTTTTACCTTGCTTAATTGGCTTCAAAAAACATATAGTGAAATAAAAAATAACTCTAGTCAGGTTGAATTACACAATTAATGAGAGAGTTTACTGTGAGGAAAGACTGTCGACTCACTCTCATCATCATCATCAGGTCTCCTTTTTTACAGTAGATGAGTGTGTACTGTTCTACTGATTCAATATCTAAAGATATGGCCTGATTTCGAGTCAGAGGGGGTTTTATGCTATTACTTACTGAAGACGCAAAACTTTTTATGACAGCTCCGTTCAATTCAATGAACTGGTTCGACCATTTCACTTAGAAAATCCAAAAAAACAGATTAATTCGCAAATCACCCGTCATCACTACAGACAGTCAGAATAGCAGGCCAGAGACTTACATTTTTGTAATGGATTCTTGTTATTTTGAACTCATCGAAGGAAAGAAAGTGATTGTTGTTGTGTAGATTATGTGCAAATAAAACAACTCCAAGAAACACAACATTGCATCCAGTTTTTTTTTTGTTTTTTTTTCTCGAAGCACTACACCCACACCTCACCTTTAGCTAAACAACAAATGATTGACATCAGTTCACATTCTCCAGGTCAAACAATAAATTCGACTAAAATAAAAATGCTTATTGCTTTTATTGTTGAGGAGATGCAGCCACTGTCTAACGTTACTGTAGAAGCAACTACGTTTTGTAATATAGTAAATACAAAAAATCTTTTGGGAAACTATTTACACATTTGTTAAGGCCACATTAAGAAATGTATTCAATTATTATTTTTATTTTTATAAAAAATTTTAAAGGTTTAAAATCATTTTTTCCTTAAATTATTTCTTGCAGGTACTCTTAATGGACAGTGAATTCACTTAACTAATAACACAAAACATTTAAAAGCAGCAAACACATTACTTTACATGCTTTCATTAATCTGTACATACAACATGTAGAGCTCTGGGTTCAAAAAGTTCTCAAAATATAATTTTATTCTACATTTTTTAAAGGAAAGTAACGTGTAGGTTCTATGGGTGGTTGTTAAATGCAGAGCTTCTCAATAAAAAAAGTGAAAAAAACCCACCTGCAAGTTCTAAAAGAGATTAAACCTCAGCCAGGTAAATAAAAGTAACACAAAAGTAACTCAAAAGTAATATAACGCAGATATCGCACTTAGTTACTTTCTTGGGAGAGTAACTCAATATTCTAATGCACTACTTTCAAAAGTAACTTGCCCCAACACTGTCCGTCTATGCAAGCAACAGCAACTGTTGGCGACCAGCAGTCTCCATCAATGTGACAAAGTTAAGAATCCTTCAACTATGCAAATGAAGAGAGACTTTTTTTAAATGACAGCCAGTAGGACACCAGTAGAGCTCACGTTATCTTCTCTCGGCTTTCTCAGAGGCTGGTTGTATCATCCGTGCTGTAAAAAAACACCCCTGTGTTTGCAGCAGATAACCCAAGTGACCCTAGTGTAAATGAGGCATTAAGGGGCTAATCATTTTGAACGTAAAAAATATTGCAACCAAACTAACAGAAAAAGTGAAATACTGTGTAAAAGTCCTTGTGAAATGTTTGAAAAACAATAACATTTTCACAGGATGGCTAATAACTTTCCATTTCTGTGTATATTATGTGCATACAAGCTTTTATTTTGTAAATTAACAAGTTCATCTTTTTCTCTTTTAGCCCTGATTGTCCACGAAGGACCGTCTGTGTTTCGCATCTTTAACCGCTGGCAGGCTGTCAATCAGCAGTGGAAAGTCTTAAACTACGACAAGGTCAAAGACAATGAGGACCACCAGAAGACTGGTGCCACATTCCGGACCCTCTCTCTGCCGCTGACGCACCGCATGGGGCAAAGCGGCCCTGAAGGCGAACCCTCCACCTCCACATCCTCCCTCATGGCTGCAGCTGCAGCAGCCGCGGCGGGCACAGTCACCCCTACCACAAACTCCATCCCACCGGCAGCAGGTGCTACGACAGAGCCGCAGGACTCATCTGAGCCCAGCAACGGGCAGCCCTCTCTGCCAGACCACCACTGTGCTTACAACATCCTTCATCTCCTCAGCCACCTCAGGCAACAGGAGCCGCGCGGACAAACCAGCAACAGCAACCGAGAACTGGTCATGAGAGTCACTACAGTCTGATGCTTCGTTTACACTTCAATCCCTGCATGCGACTTATTTTAAGGATCGATGGAGCAGAATTAAACAGTGTTACTCGCTGACCCGGTGCACTGCTGTCTGGGTTCAAGCCGTTTGTCTTTTCTAATTTTTACAGTATTGAAGAAAACCAAACTACTTTTTCTCTCGCAGTGGCTGCAAGAACGATTATGGCCATATAGCTGCATACTGTAAAGTATGTGAGCCACTCAGAAAGGTCAGGGGTCAGTGGAGAGTGAGTGTGTGAGTGTGTGTGTGTGTGTGTGTGTGTGTGTGTGTGTGTGTGTGTGTGTGTGTGTGTGTGTGTGTGTGTGTGTGTGTGTGTGTGTGTGAGTGAGTGTGTGAGTGAGTGAGTGAGTGAGTGAGTGAGTGAGTGAGTGAGTGAGTGAGTGAGTGAGTGTGTGTTTATTGTCAGCTCAAGGCCACAGTCAGAGCTGTTCATTCTGAAGCACAAATTCAACAATGCAATCCCGTTTCTACACCGACAGACGCTCTTCTGAACTAAAACAGCTTAGAGCCGGAGGTACTAACTGATTTTCAGATTACTACAGGTCGTATTTTCAGATTAAAATCTGTTTATCATTTAAGCCTGACGCTTGCAATAAAACGCAAGTCCAAATGCTTTTAAAACCGAAAGAGATATTGAAGGATCAAACTATTCTGTTTACAATCACAATTGTTTTTAAGGGAAATCAATCATCTCTGACTTTGACAGTCTTGTACATCAAAACTACCACTACTACTACAAAAAAGCTGCCCAATTTGAGGCAAATCTTGATCAACTGACTTATTTTGTTTACATTTGTTAAATATGCGAGAGAAAACAAGGTTGCTACATTAAAAAAAAGACAAATCAAACCGGTTTTATGAAGTCTGTTTGTCTTCTGGAAAGAGAGAAATGTGTTGACGGCATCATTTCCTTCTGCCAAGCAGAATATTCAATCAAATCATTAATTTCAGTAATGCATTTCATGCTTTCCAATTGATTCCCTTTCCAGGCCTGAAGGTTTCAAGCAATCATCAGCACTTGGAATGTTTACATTAATCCCATTTTATTCCATTTTCTCAATACAAATACAGACAGTAAGTGGCTTTGTGCTACATAAACAGGAACCAGCAACAATATCCAAGCCTGATCACAGCTGGCTGTTAGTTTTCATAATATTATCTTCCTTTCCCATCTTTTAATGGTCCACTCCTCTGGGTTTCTCTATTTGAATTGTGGAAACAAATAAACTGTCTCTATAGCACACCTACAGACTTAAACCCAACTTGTGCAGAAACAAACCACAAATGCATGTAGGCATATTATTCTCTTGACCAATTTAATGCATTTGATGACAGAAATATGTGTGGTATAAATATACACGAGTGTGGGATTGATGGTGATTGGTAGGTGAAAGATATATATTAACACTTGTGTTTGCATAATCATGTAACAGAAAAATTCATTGCATACAACAACCTAATAATTAAAATAACTGAGTTGGAGCAATGGCAAACATTCACAGCACTTCCTCTGAACAATGCTAAATGTGCACCGAGGTGAGGGGGAAGGAGTGTGTCAACAGTTTTCGTTGACTGTATTTAAAGATACGTTAAAACAATCACAAATGATGATGTCAAACTGTGGTTGATTCCATGTGAAACAAGAAAACCTCCAATGGAAGGCCAAGGCACAAGAGAATGTTATCGCTTTGACATTTCTTTCCCTGGAATAAAGCAGTTCCAGTGAGATGGATGTATTACAGTCATAATGTAAAAAAGAGACCACAGGGGAACAAAGGACATGTGGAGGAATGTTCCATCTACTCTATTAGTGTCTTTGTTTCCTCATCCACAGCAACTGATGGCCTTTTTAATGCCTGCAGATGAGATGTTACTCCAGTTCCACCAGTAAATCTCCTTCTCCAACTGTATCTCCAGCTTTACAATGCACGCTCTTCACCTGAACAAAAACACACATTATTTGAGAAATGTCCAACCATTCTGCATCACAAAAAGCTATTGGTGTTCATTCAGTCAGTTAAACACACATCGTTTTGCAGAGAAAAATCATAGTAAAAAAAAATAACTAACTGTTCCACATTTGAAAAGGGATGTTTCTAAAAATTTTCACCAATTTGGAGTCAATTTTTCAATAATTTACAGTGAAAACAAACAAACAAAAAAAAACGTAAGCATGTAGACAGATTTTTATGAGATGAGACGTTTTTGATAAGAAAATCAATATAATATTTTGCACATGGTCCCGCCAGTGTCTTATCCTTTCTATGAAAAAGGCTTGCATATGTCCTGCAGAGTGTAGTTCCAGCCCTGCTTCAACACGCCAATCTGTAGGCACCAAAGAAGCCCAAAGGATTCAATTAGTTTGATCAGGTGTGTTTAATTAGGGTTGGAACTAAATTGCAGCCATAGAACCTACACGTTACTTTCCTTTAAAAATTGCAGAAAGAGACATTTTTTACATAAATATCAATGTGTCAGTCAAAAAAAACTGTTATCTTACACACATACAATGCATCCGGAAAGTATTCATAGCCCTTCGCTTTTTCCACATTTGTTTATGTTACAGCCTTATTCCAAAATGGATTAAATTAATTGATTTCCTCAAACTTTTACACACAATACCCTATAATAACAATGTGAAAAAATAATTTTTGAAATTGTTGGAAATTTATTAAAAATAAAAAACCTGAAAAATCACATGTACATAAGCATTCAAAGCCTTTGCCGTAAAGCTCTAAATTGAGCTCAGGTACATTGTGTTTCCTCTGATCATTCTTAAAATGTTTCAGCAGCTCAATTGGAGTTCACCTGTGGTAAATTTAGTTGATTAAACATGATTTGAGAAGGCATACACCTGTCTATATAAGTTCCACGGTTTGACAGTGCATGTCAAAGCACAAACCAAGCATGAACACATAGGAATTGTCTGTAGACCTCCGAGACAAGATTTCTGCTGCTCTGAAAGTTCCAATGAGCACAGTGGCCTCCATCATCCGTAGGTGAAAGATGTTTGGAACAACCAAGACTCTTCCTAGAGATGGCCGGCCATCTGAGCTGAGTGATCGGGGGAGAAGGGCTTTAGTCAGAAAGGTGATAAATAACCCAATGGTCACTCTGTCTGAGCTCCAGTGTTCTTCTGTGGAGAGAGGAGAACTTTACAGAAGGACAACCACCTGTGCAGCAATTCACCAATCAGGCCTGTATGGTAGAGTGGCCAGATGGAAGCAGCCCGCCTGGAATTTGCCAAAAGGCATCTGAAGGACTCTCAGACCATAAGAAACAAAATTCTCTGGTCTGATGAGACTAAAATTGAACTCTTTGGAGTGAATGCCAGGAATCACGTTTGGAGAAAACCAGGCACAGCTCATCACCAGGGTATTACCATCCCTACAGTGAAGCATGGTGGAGGCAGCATCATACTGTGGGGATGTTTTTCAGCAGCAGGAACAAGAAGACTAGTCAGGATAGAGGGAAAGATGAAAGCTGCAATGTACAGAGACATTCTGAATGAAAACCTGCAGAGTGCTCTTGACCTCAGACTGCTGCAGAGTGGCCGAGCCAGAGCCCAGACCTAAATCCTATTGAACATCTCTGGAGAGATCTGAAAATGGCTGTATGCCATCGCTTCCCATCTAACCTGATAGAGCTTGAGAGATACTGCAAAGAGGAATGGGCAAAAATTCCCAAAGATAGGTGTGCCAAGTTTGTGGCATCATATTCAAAAAGACTTGAGGCTGTAATTATTGGCAAAGTATTGAGCGAAGGCTGTGAATACTTATGTACATGTGATTTTTCAGATTTTTTATTCTAATGAATAACCAACAATTTCAAAAAATCTTTTCTCACATTGGTATTGTGTGTAGAATTTTGAGGAAATAAATTAATTTAATCCATTTTGAAAAAAGGCTATAACATAAACAAATGTGGAAAAAGTGAAGCGCTATGAATACTTTCCAGATGCATTGTATATATTGTCACTACAGGATAGTCACTAAATAATCAAATCATGATATGACATCATGAATAAGAAGGGCTTAATTTTATGCATGCTTATTTCAACTGTCACTACTTTCATTCATTCATGTCTTAGTTATGACATAAATACATCCTATAATTCGTCATTGTTTTTTGTCACAACAACATGGAATTACTAAGACAACATAACTTGCCATTAATCTGTCATAAACAAGACTGCCATGAGGTCATTATAATATCATCATGAATATTTTTGGATCACGTTTTTTCAGTGGAACAAATTGAATTTGCCGCTGTGTTAAATAATCTTAAAACAGCATTATTAGTATTAATGACATTTGAATGACAAATTCAATCTATACCACTGCATTTGAGGTCAAGAAAAAATATTAATGACGCTGTTATAAAATTCTTGACAGTTAGAATGGTTTCATGAAAGTCATGTTTATGACAGATAGTTGTTAAAAATGACAACTGAGCAAATTAATGTAACGACAGTCATCATAAGCATACATAAAATCTGGAAATGCATAAAAATAAAATGTATCAATTGTCATGTCAAGATTATATAACAATTCATGACGAGCACCCCTTCAAGTAAAGTGTGTACCAACGGGTTTACCATGCCACCTAACTGGGTGTTTAAAAATGGTTCAATGGTGGTCATCATAGTTTCACAATAACTAGTCTTTTTAGTTTTATTTGTAGTAAAATCACAGGTCATTTTCACCACAAGATGACATCAAGTTTCCATTGGTGGACATACAGTATAAGGGCACCCCCTATTTTTGGGTATGGCTGAGTGATACGAACCATACTTTTCCCAATATTTGTAGTCTAATATTAGCCTCCATTAAAAACTTTTTTTAACTACAGTAAGAAACCAAGATGTGCATTGACTTGGTACAGCATCACAAAACAAGGATCTCAAGTAGGGGTATTTTGTTTTTATTTTGTTTTTACAGTGGAACTGCAGAAATGCACAATCTATATAGTTTTAACATGGATTAATATACTTTAGTATTTCTAATATTCATCTTCAAGTGCTTTCAAGCTGATATGTAATTTAAAACATGTCACTTTTTTGTAGCATTTTAATTTACTTAATGCACATATTTTTTTTCTTCTTCTTTTTTTTTTTGCCCTTTGGTTAAGAGCCACCAGCATTAATGGTGATTTCAGATACAGCCTATATACACATCATAACTTTTCCATGTAAATATATTTCTAAAGAAGCTGCTAGCATGAAATTGTACCAGATTTTTGCAACAAAAAAAAAAAACAGTCCAAACATTCAAATAAAACAAAACAAAACAAAAAACAAATCCAGAAAAAACTAGTTGTGTAACAATGCAATGGCACTAATGGCACTCAATTACTTAAATGTACTTAATGCTTTGTGTTTCAGAAATGACAGCTTCAAGACGCCTCTTAAACTCTGCCCTTTAGTTCTTATTTTCTTTTAGACTCAAGTCATGTAACTGGCTGAGCCATTAGCAGCTTTATTCCTTTCTGAAACCAACCGAGAGTTTCTTGCCTGTGTATATGATCATGTCTTGCTGAAATGTCCACCCTGGTTTCATCTTCATCCTTCTGGCAAAGTAGAAGTTGGACTAAAGCAGCTAATATTAATTTACACAGATGAGGGGTGAGTCTGCATTCTAACTATAGGGAGATTCCAGCTGCTTTCTGGGCTTTCCATGCCTTTTCACACTCCTTTCTACGTGTGTTCAATACATTTTCCATATGTCATTTCATTTTATTACTGATAGCTTAATTTCTAAAATAATTACTTTAGTGTTTTTTTTTCATTGCATGGGTTGCTTTTGTTGTTACTGACATCCAGTGAAAAATTTAAGTGAATAGAATCGAAATAAATATATTTTCTGAAAAAAATAAAGATAAATTTTTATTTTACCCTTTGTAAATGTTCTAAATTTTACTTTAACTGTTAAGTGTTATAGGAAAATACATAGTAAAGAGTCTTTCACACTGAGTATAAATAAGTGGTGCGAATGTACACTGCAATGATAGTCTTAAATCAAAACAATAGCTCCCACTGGAGCTATTCAAGAGAGCAAGATTACTGGTGCTGCTTTAAAAACCAGTGTAAAAACAACAAAAAAACACTCCAGAAAATAAAATACAATGAATGTTCTTGTTTTCATTATTGTATCACTGAAAAAAGATTTAGTGTCAATTTTATTACATATTTCAGTTAACTGAATATTAATATTTCTGTTAATTGTCCATTGAAATGTGCGATATGAACACTTGGAAAAGCATACAGAGCTCTGTGTGTCTTTTTCTTTCATTTACGAGTGGTATGAGTCAGAGAACGCTAATTTGTAATCGTGATCAATTACGTGATCATAACGCCTGCCCTTCTGGAAAATAGCATCTTGTTCCCTTATTTTGAGTTCTACATGAGCAACAGAGAAGCATTTCTAGTGATGACACAGAGCTAAATTAGACATATATTACTATGATGATATATATATATATGATATGTAAAGGGGTAGTTCACCCAAAAATGAAAATTACATTTACTCTCCCTCATGTGGTTGAAATTGTTTTTGTGTTTCTATCTTACACTGAACCAAAGAAGATATTTTGAATAATGCTTGCTGCTGGGACCCATGCATCGAAGTCTATAGTAGGCATGGGGCGATAGCGGTTTTCAAGGTAAACAGTGGTTTGGATAAGTCAAGCTTTTAAAACCGCCAACATTTTCTATCATACCATTCCAACGCTAAATGTAGGATTTTATTTTTACGTTATTTGTTAGTTTTTTAAGACAATAGTATCTTTTGCCTTTTTAAATTGCAAATAAATTAGTGTTTTTGAAACTAATAAAGAGGGCAGAAGTTCATGATCTATTAGAATTACTTAGCCTGACATGTTTATTGTTACAAAATATTATAAATGTCTCTCAAAATAAAATATATTGTGTTCAAAAAGGAAAAAACTTGTAGTTTTTATCAAGACATTTACAAAGAATATAGTTTAGAGCTGTAACCACAATACCGTCAAACCTTGATACAAGGTCATCATAAGCCAAAATCATATACTGGCCCATGCCTAGTCCATAGTAGAAAAATACATTTGGAAGTCAATGGGTTCCAGCAACCAACATATTTCAAATGATTTTCTTATCGAAAAAAGAAAAAAAGAAACTCAAATTGGTTTTAAACAAGCGAAAAGTAAATGATGACAGAATTGTAATTTTTTTTTTTACCTGTAAGCAGGTAGCGGTCATCTCTAGCTATCATATAATCAAAGGCACTTTAATTTGCAATTGTCGCACTTGATTATTGTGTTATAATTGGTTTTAAACAAAAACTACAATATAAGCTAGGGGTGGGCAAACTCGGTCCTGGAAGGCCGGTGTCCTGCACAGTTTAGCTCTAACTCTAATCAAACACACCTGCTTATAGATTTCTAGTGATCTTGAAGACACTGATTAGTTTGTTCAGGTGTGTTTGACTAGTGTTGGAACAAAACTCTGCAGGGACACCGGCCCTCGAGGATCAAGTTTGCCCATCCCTGATCTAAGCTGTGTCTCGAGTAGATACTACATCTGAATTTGAATTTACTACACGACCATCAGAAAAGTATGTTTTATATAGTATAAATGCAAGTATGAAAGAAATTTGAACATACTTCATCCGCCAACTGTCATTATCACATGACCTACCTGCGTTAGTTGTCGCTTTACTTCTTTTTATTGTATCGTTCAACAAGACTACACAAATAAACAGAAAAGGTATAAATCCTATAACAACTAAACAGACAACAGAACAAAGAAAACAAAAACAGAAACAAAAAATGATGCCAGGGGTAATATAAATTACAATGAAACACTTTAAATCTGACCTTAAGCAAGGTTACAGTGATGTATAAAAGGTCACATAGAATAGTCAGCTGGGTATCATCGAAAAGAGACAATACTGTAAGATTCACACAGTGTTATTGATATTAAAGCTTTAACATTGCTGAAGGTAGAGATTGTATCCAAAAAATATTTCAAATCTTTACAAAAAATAAGAAACAGGCTTTATAGACAAAAATTTGCATTTACGTATACAACATTTTTGCAAGTAAAACAAATTGATTCATTAGAAAATATTTATCTTTTTAGTTTTCGTTTTATTACCATTCACGAATTCTCTCACGTGACCTCACGGGATAGCATCTCGTCCATCGGATGCGCCCTTCTAAATCTTGTCAGAAGTAGTAGGTCATTGCATACTGTTTATCGAATAAATATTAATTTGTATATTCTAATGTTTTTAACGTACTATATAGCATGTATATATAGTAAAAGAAGTATGCAATTTCATACACAGTAAACTGATGTGTAGCTTCTAGCTTGATGCTAATTGTAGAACAAATGCTGCACTGCACTACACTCGTTAAAGGCCTTAAATTTGCATAAAACAACATTATTTTAGTATCACATACAATAAAATTAAAGCTTTCACTATAATTTTGAATTAACTTTTATTTCAAAAAGTTAAAGCAGTCATTTTGTTTGTATATATTAGTTATTTAAATGAGGAGTTGGCTTAGTAACTAGCTGAAACAAAAGTTTTAATTAATATTTAGTTGATTGAAAATAACAAAAATAAGTCTTTATAGTGTTCTTCTTATCGACTACTTAACTAAACCCTAGCATGACATAGAATAAAATTTCCCACCGTCCATCAATGAGCCATAAACGGCATAACCACAATCTGGTTTCAGACCTCTGACAAGAAGGGAGAGACTTTTCACAGTAGCTGAGTGGTCTGCTCAGAGTACAAGTGTGGATAATGGACTGTGGCCCCTCACTGTCTCTCTCTCTCTCTCTCTCTCTCTCTCTCTCTCATGGTGTTGTTGGCTATTATAATGCAGCTGAGGTATGTGGAAGTGCATGTTCTTTATGTCATATCGATTTCTGATGCACAGAGCGGTGAAGAAGATTATGTATCAGTAAGTGTGTGTTTGATAGAGCTCACCTTGGCCGTCTTGGCTGCGGTCATGCTGTTCTGCATCTTCATAGCTTCAATCACACAGATCTCCTGTCCCTCTGCAACCTTCACAACAAACAAAAAACCCATCAGGTATTCCACAATGACTACTTTCTAATAACACCATGAACAAAAAAAAAAAAGCATACGACTCACAAAATATCTTACCTTTGCATATTTATTAACTTCACAGATTGGGCAGGTCTAGTACATTAATCGACCCCAGCACAAAGAGCTGGGGAATATTGTAATATCATTTCGCGTGCATTAGAAAAGTGATAACACTTAACAAATGCACAAAGCTGGCCGTAACGCGAGAGGGGAGGGGGTGGGCGGTGGAGGGGTAAAAGAATCAATAAAAGAAATCTCTGTTTATATCCATCAAACTCTCCATTAGGGAAATGGATTATGGAAATAAGTGAGCACTGAGGAATTGCCGTTTCCTTCCATCCACAAGAACTAATTTCTGTCTTATCTATGCAGAAGTGCTGAAATCAGGTGTGACGTCACTGCTGTGTGAGTGTGTGTGTGTGCGGTGACTAATCAGTGTGAGAGCTCTTCATTGCAGTGCTCTTGTGTGTATGACGTGGCTGAGTGAGCGAATGAGATGTTTTACTGGAAGGGCTCAGATGTATTAGTTGGAGCCAGTTGGTCTGTGCATCATATATAAGTCATTAACAAACTGACTCAGGACAAATTCCATTCAACTTGACTTACACGAGCACACAACCCGACACGTACACTCATGCACACATTTTGTGACACTGAAGTGCACTGTCAGCTTTAACAAATGCAAATCAGGTCATTTGAAGGAATAGTTGACGCACTATGGAAAACTCTGGTCTTATTTGTTCATGTTTTTAACCTTGAATCGCTTTCATTGTTCTGGGGAATGGAAAAGGAGATCATTTAATGAGCACCTGCTTGGGGGACTTTAATACAAATACAGCAGGACTTTAATGCTTAATAAAGCAGGAGTGTCAGCAACTAAGCACAAACGGCTCATTTGTTTAAACAACTGCTCCAATCGTTTTGGTTCAAAAACAAACGAGTATTAAAAGCAAAAACTACAGAATACACAAGACGTGTCACTCGTATACTTTTGAATAGGGAAAAGTATAACTGTCAATATGGTGAATGAAGCCCTGCCATCTAGTACAGGAGCCAATCAGCAATCGCCATAGGATGAAAATTTTCCAGAAAAGGGGCTTGGACCAGATGTGAGTTTCCGCAGATTTTGTGTGATACGAACATTTAGAAATAAAACTAAATAGTCAGTCGTTGTATCATTTTATTGTTTATTCATAATATGAAATGTATTTGTAAGCTTGGCAAACAGTTTTGGAGAATTTGATTTCCCCTTTCAGACAGAATGCCCGAGTATACTGCCCGAGAGGTTTTTTAAAGATGGCCGCAGAGTGAAATGACTTGCCTTAAAGGGACTTTAATTAAAGCTATACACTTCGCAACTGATTTTAACAATTACAAAATCTATGAAAATTTAAAGACCACATAATCCGAATTCAAACTTACTAAGAGTTGGGTGTAACACGTTCCACAGTAACGCTTTACTGTATTCTAATTCCATTTCTGGGAAACACAGTAATGTAACGAATTACGAATTACGAAAGTCAGTTTACTTTGCTCTACTTATGTTTCAAATATAGTTTTTGAAGGAAAAAAATGCTTCTTTAAATCACGTTTTCTGCTGCAATGGCAGTTAATAAATAATAGAGAACATGAGCTGAAATAGCTGCTGACGAAAGTGGCGGCTTCTTCAGGTGAAAATACAGACATTACTTTGATTTCATTGAGAGGAAAACAAAAATATTGCTCTGAAATTCTGTCTATATCCAGTCTCTAAAAAACTTTCGACTGCTTTTAACTTGAACAGAAAGCATTCTATGTCAACACTCGTTATCAAGGAGGACACCGGCACCCAAAAACCCAGCAGTCCAACTCAGCCTAAACAGGCTAAATTAGATTTTTGTGCAGGATCGAGAGTGAAGGTATCTTCTGAATGTGAAGAGAAGCGCAGCTGCTCATGGGGCCACTCACATATTGTGTCTTTTGTGTGTGCAGGTTTGTCATTTCCAATGAAGGCGCGCAGCTTGCGCACACATAGTCGGAGCACATATCGCGTGTGCTCACATTTTCTAGGTACACCTGTTGAAAACCGTAATTCATGCCACAAGAACTGACCGACTGACATACTTTGTATAGAATATACACATTTCTGTAGACTAATTACTTCAAACAAACAAAGAACACCCAAACACCCAGTGCTTTTGCATCCTATGGATGTCAATGGTTACAGGTACCCTGTTTTCTTCATGTATTCTTTTTGTGTTAAAAAAAAGGGGAAAAAAGCCAACCAGGTTTGGAACAAGTGAATGATGAGAGAATTTTAAGTTTTGAGTGAACTTTTACATATTTTTAATACGTCAAGCTGCTGTAATCAACCCATTGTATTGTTTTACAGTGAATATTAAAATTACTGAAAGAGCTGCAGTTTATTCTGTACTTTTTTAGGTATATTTTATGTGTTTTAAAAGTAACTTCCAAGTAATTAGTAATGTAATCAGATTACAATTTTCCAGTAGTAGTCAGTATTATGTAATCTATTACTTTTTAAAGTAACTTATCCAACACAGCACATTGACTAATATTACTGGTGATACACGGGGTAATATTTTTGCCAGGCAACTTTGGAAAATGATGTAGTCAATGAGCAGCTGGGTGAGATATAGGGCACCTGATACAATATTGTTGCCCATTCTCAATAGTAAGGCAGCTGAGCAACATCACTCTGCAATATTGCCCGACTACATTGCTCAAAAAGTTGACTTGTGCATCATCAGTATAAGACACTTTACTTGAATCCACAAATTAAAAATGGAAGCCCAGAACACTCTGTATATTCTTGATAGCACAAACATGGTGTTGAAATCTGAAGCTGTTGTTTAAGTGAAATACTCGCTCATGTTCTAAACCTACGACTGCATGGTATTGGAAAAATCTGCCATTGCAATATATTTTCTTTTGCTGCGATATATATTGAGATAAGAATATAATTTCACCAGTTGATTTGAAAAGCTCTATTTGGAAAGATTTCATTAATTTAAATTGACTAGGATGATCAAGACTTTTTCTATGCAGTGCATCTGCATAAATTAAAAGCAAAAATAAATAAATAAAAAGTGCTTTATGGTTTTCTGGGGAGTCTAACAGGATTTAAGTACAAAAAATTAATAATCAAATGTAAAATTACGGTCATCGTCTAAATTAAAAAAAAAATATATATATATATATATATATATATATATATATATAAAATATAATCATTAAATCTTCAATAAATAATCTAATCCTGCAATGTGACTATTGTAAATACACACATTGCAATATTGATGCTCAAATGATATATTGTTCACCCCTGGACTGAACACGTATTTCACATGTGCATAACATTACACTTTTACACAATCATATTTTTCTATTTAGTTCATAGAAATGACAGCAGTATTTTTTTTTATCTACTATGATGGCTGTTTTCCAAAAGTTTTAATGTTCAGGCCCTAAAACACTAAAAACTCCTTGAAAAATCAGTAAACAATAAAAAAGAAAAAAGAAAATCATAAATCATGAGCTACTAATATATAAAGATCAAAGTTCTGTGCATAAGATAACATACTGAAATCATTTTAGAGCAGTTATTGCTATTAGTTAATTGGGCTAAACAATACAGTATTCTTAGATATTAAGGCAATTGCTGATTTACTCGCCAATACATTATGCATTAAAGCCACATGTTCCACAACTAATGAACCTCAAAGCTCAACCTCAGCGTTTGCAAGCAAAAGAGAAACAAACAGAGCTGGCTTTTAATTTCAGAAATATATTCAGCTTGCATATAACCATATTTGCACTGGATTGACTAAGTTCACAAAATAATGGCTGCAAAAATCACATACTTTTCTGCATAATGGGAGGTGAAAAACTGTGTGTATATATATTTTAATGCTTAGCACTTATACAAGAAGAGAAAAAATACATGGACAACCTACTTGTGATTAACTGCAGATCACATTTATAAAACAAACGTATGATATCATTTCTTTTTCAAACCAATGTAAATGATGTATGTAATTGTTTTAACTAAAAACTGATCAGAGACCTAGGATGATAAGTGAGACACATGTACTTTTGAGAGGATGAGGATACATTTTAATTTCTTGGCTTCCATTTTTTTTCCTTTTTAAAGGTAAAGCATACTTTAATACTACAAACTGATGAAATACATCAATCCTTAATGGTAAATATAACATTTAACTACTGTTTGACATACACTCACCGGTAACTTTATTAGGTACACCTTACTAGTACCGGGTTGAACTGCCTTTTGTCTTTAGAACTGCCTTAATCCTTCATGGCATAGATTCAACAAGGTACTGGAAATATTCCTTAGAGATTTTGGTCCATATTGATATGATAGCATCACAGTTTGTCGGCTGCACATCCATGATGCGAATCTCCCGTTCCACCACATCCCAAAGGTGCTCTATTAGATTGAGCTCTGGTGACTGTGGAGGCCATTAAAGTACAGTAAACTCATTGTGATGTTCAAGAAACCAGTCTGAGATGATTTGCGCTTTATGTCATGGCTACTTCTAGCAGTATACCGCGCCATCAGAAGATGGGGACATTGTGGTCATAAAGAGATGGATATGGTCAGCAACAATACTCGGGTAGGCTCTGGCGTTGACACGATGCTCAATTGGTACTAATGAGCCGAGAGCGTACCCAGAAAATATCCCTCACACCATTACACCATCACCGCCAGCCTGAACCATTGATACAAGGCAGGATGGATCCATGCTTTCATGTTATTGACGCCAAATTCTGACCCTCCATCCGAATGTCGCAGCAGATATTGAGAGTCATAAGACCAGGCTACGTTTTTCCAAAATTCTATTGTCCAATTTTGGGGAACCTGTGCAAATTGTAGCCTCAATTTCCTGTTATTAGCTGACAGGAGTGGCACCCGGTGTGGTCTTCTGCTGCTGTAGTTCATCCGCCTCAAGGTTGGACATGGCATTCAGAGATGCTCTTCTGCATACCTAGTTGTAACGAGTGGTTGTTTGAGTTACTGTTGCCTTTTTGTCAGCTAGAACCAGTCTGGCCATTCTCCTCTGACATCAACAAGGCATTTGCGCCCACAGAACTGCCACTCACCTAATATTTTTTCTTTTTCAGACCATTCTCTGTAAAACCTAGATATAGTTGTGTGTGAAAATTCCAGTAGATCAGCTGTTTCTGAAATATTTAGACCAGCCGGTCTGGCACAAACAACCATGCCATGTTCAAAGTCATTTAAATCACCTTTCTTCCCCATTCTGATGCTCCATTTAAACTGCAGCAGATCGTCTTGACCATGTCTACATGCTTAAATGCTGCCATGTGATTGGCTGATTAGAGAATTCCTTTAATGAGCAGTTGGCCAGGTGTACCTAATGAAGTGGCCATGAGTGTAGATGTATTGTATATAATATTCTGGGGTCACCTTTTTTGGTTTAAATTATATTTAAGATTTAATCTAGAGAACTTTAGACAATCTAGATTAAATGTTTATCTTAAGATAAATATCTTGTATCTGGACTGTGTACAATAAGCCACTTACCGTATCCCCTGGTTTAACGGATACCGCCACCACAGATCCTGGCATTGGAGAGCGGAGGATGCTGCTGGTGTCTTCTGGAACCTTCTCCGGCATGTGTTTACTGAGAGACGCTGCCAGTTTACTCAGCACACGCAACTTAAACTGAACAAAGGAAACAGAAAAATATACACAGGCATCTCAATATGATGAAATACAGAAAAGCATCAAGAAAATTGCCAAATAAAAAAGACGGCCGCTCAAAAGAGTAACACTGATGATAAACGAGGCAACTTTTGAAGCAATATTAAATGGCAATTTTGGGAAATGATGCCATCAACAGGCAACCAAGTGAGACACAGGGCAACTAATTAAGGCAACCAGTCCAGATACAATTTTGTTGCCCATTTTACTAGGAAAAGAGCCAAGCAACATCGCTCAAAAGGTTGCCCCATGTATCATCAGCATAACATCAAACTCCCGCACATTTCAACCCACATTTCAGCAGTGTAATGTCTATTGCACACTTGTGTTTATTCTGACAAAGATCAATTATAATTCAACAATAGCCCAGAGCTCATGTAAATAATGATGTTGCAATACTTTTGAAAGATTTGTAGACTTTTCAGTAGATGCACGTTTATTTAACTGCCTCAAACACACTTTTAAATCCCATTACCTTTGTCAACATAGACTTTGGAAATACATGATTCAGTCTACATTTTGTTTTTGTGAAACCGCAAAATTACCCTTAAATATGTTTGACTGAAGTAGTCAGAAGTCAAAAGTACATTACGACTCAAGGCATTACAACGCAACAACTTTGAAATTTTCACACTAATAAAATTCACAGGGACATATCAACATATGATGAATTATTTGTGTACTAATATTGACTAATAGCTAATATTGGTTGGGTTTAGATTAGTGGTGCGCACCTCCATTGGAAATAAAAAACTTGTGCAAACTAAAAAGCTGTCATTTGCGATCTCCAGCAGTTGATCTTCTTGCACAGACATGCTGGATTCACCTGATTTGTTGACAAATGGGTTATGGATCTATTTCTTGGCAGTTTGTGGGTCCTTCACTGAGCTTTTCCCCTTAGTAAATAAACTTTCCATCTGTTTCTTAAGGCTGATTTATACTTCTGCGTCAAACACCGGCGTATGCTATGGCGCTGACGCATAGCCCTTCGCCGTGGCCGTCGCTGTCACTGACGTGCACCTCTCAAAAAATGTAACTACACGTCGCAACAACGCGTAGCGCAAGCTCTGTGATTGGTCGGCTTGGTAGTGCTGACGAGTCCGGGCGGGACCGAGAGCCGCGCGAATGGCGCGAACCCAATGTAGCGACTGTTTACAAGTGTGGAGTCCCGTGAAGGAGCTCTGGATGGAAAGTTTTGTTTTGTGTTTACCTCATAGTTAAAGTTGCTGCACGTCCGCCGGTTGCTGCCTCAAAATGAGCGAGTTTGAGCCACTTGTACATCCCGGAAATGTTCAGGAAAAGCAAAAAAGCAGCGTAGAAACTCGACACAGAGGAACATTTACACCTTACTGCCAACTAGCGTTTTGGAAGTGTTAATGCAGACCAACAGAGACAGCCCGCAGAAGTATAAGGGCCTACTCACACTATGCCATCCGTACCGTGCCCAGTCCCGTTTCCCGGATCGTTTGAGAAGTGTGAGTGCGCTGAATCGCGCTCAAGCACGGTTCACTTGGCCGGCCCTGGCCCGGTTGGAAGAGGTGTGCCTGAGCGCGGTACACTTGGGCTTTGGCGCGGTACGCTTGTGTGTGAGTACAAAACGCGCCAAAGCCCGAAACTAAAAGCAAGACGTGACTTTTAAAGGACTGTTTGATATGGATTTATTAATCATTCTTACTGTTCAGTGAACGCAAACTGCCGTAGTTTATTAAAGACGCAAACTCCTCACAGCACGTTAGCTGCGCGCCTTCAGCAGACCTCCTCATTCCTGCAGCACGAGAGCTTGATGATTGTTTATGAGTGCCAAAAGTGGCGGATCTGTTCGGCGAAATATCTGACTGCGTGTCACCGCATCCCTAAGGACTGTTTGGCGAAATATTTGACGGCATATCAAACGACTGAAACGATATAACTAGAGAAATCTCCACTGTGCTGCTGAGTAAGAGCGTATGGCAAGCCGTTTTAGCATTTAAACCTTGTTCTGACTATCCATAAATATATTTAGAGATATCTCTAATTATATTTTGACTAGTCATAATTATAATTCGACTAGTCAGAATGACAATTAGAGATATCTGCAATTACAATTGCACTAGTACGAAATCAGAAATCTGGAGATATCTGCAAATATATTATGACTAGTCATATTCCTCCATTGACTTCCATTGAAAAATATTTGCAGATATCTCTAAATGAGTTTTGACTCGTCAAAAATTCAATTCAAGATATCTACAACTGTAATTCGACTATTAGTAAATTAATTAGAGATATCTTCAAATATATTTGTAAATATCTCTAAATATGATGAATTAAAGATATCTCCAAATGTATTATGACTAGTAAAAACTCAGTTAGAGATATCTCTAATTACAATTGTTACTAATCAAAACTCATTTACAGATAATTGCAAATATTTTTCAATGGAAGTCAATGTAGGAATATGACTAGTCAGTCATAATATATTTGCAGATATCTCCAATCTGATTACGTACTAGTACAATTGTAATTGCAGATATCTCTAATTGTTATTCTGACTAGTCGAATTATAATTATGACTAGTCAAAATATAATTAGAGATATCTCGAAATATATTTATGGAGTCAGAACAAAGATTTAAATGCTAAAAAGGCTTGCCATAGAGAGCGCTTCTTACTAAACAGAGCAGCAGCGATGACGTAAGCGTGCCGAGGCCCGATATGGTGTAAGCGCGGGCCGTCGGGGGAGATGGGAGGGGGGACAAGCGTGCTTTGGCCCGGTTCGAGGCAACTGTACCTAGTGTGAGTACGGTCTAAATGCACAGCCACGCGCGTTGCATGCGCCGTGGGTTACGCCGGTCACTTGACGCAGAAGTATAAATCAGGCTTTACTCATTTTGCTGCTTGTGGGTTAAATTTAGGCACTCATGTGACCGAGACGTAAGCGAGAGAATACAGTAATTTTTCAAAATAAAAGTTTTTTTTTAAATAAAAGATCATTCAGACTCAGATAATAAATAAAACAGAAAATAATTAATGATTTTTTGTGCGGCCTGGTACCAATTAACCTGTGGTTGAGAACCACTGCCCTAGGTAACCCATTTCAAATTTGCAAAAATGTAGACACCGCCCTCTAGTGAATTATTCATCTGAAATGAGCAATAAAACGTGGCCGAAGCAATGTGTTTTACATTTCGCATATAGGCTGAAACTATTATTTGATTTTGCTGCTAGATGTCAGACCTGTAAATTTCCACAGACCAATCGAAATGACTTATTTTAGAAGTAGTTTTGAAAGGAAAATGCACTATTGCTTAAAAATTCAGGGTTGGTGAATTATTTAGATTTTTTATTTTGTGCAAAATATGCTGCAAATGTTTTATTGATTTATTAGATGACAATGTTATAGTAGATTTATATAGATTTTGTAATAATAGTATTCTAAAATTATGATTATTAATTTGATAGCAAAGGAGGTATTGCTGAAGTCTTTAAAATCATTATATTAAGGGACTACAGACAACAAACCATGTGCTAAGTTGTTTTTTGTTTTTTTTAGGAATAGCAACAATACATAGCACGAATCAAAAATGTCGTTTTCGTGGGTGCAATAGCCTAGTGGTTAGCACGCAGACATATGGTGCAGTAGCACGTCAGGGTATCCGAGTTCGAATCCCGCCTCGAGAAAATTTCCCTACCCCAAATGAAAATTGAAAGCTGCTTTTTGTGTTCCAGGGTCACATTTGCAGATTTAATGTCATTTTATCATCACAGCACCAATGTCAAAAAATAAAGAACTATAATAGTTTTATTTGTTCAGGAAACTAACAAATACTGTTTAAGAAGAATGCTCTTTAAACACATACGAATGTTTTATCAGTTGTTTTTATACAACAATGTACAATCCTTTACTGTAATTTTAAATCAATTTAATGTGTCCTTACTTAACAAAAATTTTTTTTACTATCAATAAAAACCAGATGGTTCCCCCTTTTCCGTTTTAATTATATTTTGAAGGCTCTAAAATAGACCAAATTTCCCCTTGGTTTTGAAGTCACTGCTCACGATGGTTGCTAATAAATGCCTTGGGATGGTGCAAATTATTCATGTTGTGTGGTGCCATCAGCCAATCAAACGCTTTATTGAAAAAAGTGCCAATGAGATGAATGGAAGAGCTAACTGATCGCTTTCTCTGAGTATTACAGACCTACTTATGGCAGCATATGGTCAAGTCAACAACTAGGTTAGACTCGGCTTATCTCTCAGGATCATTTTCTTTAGCTTCTTTCTTCCACCTTTAGATGGCAGCACAAATCTTTATCCAATCCCACGCTGGGCAGCAAACAGTTTATTTTTCCCTGTGTTTCTCAGACAGATGAAAGGCTGTCAGTGCCCAGTCTAATTCAATTAACAGACGACTGAAGCCTGGCCTTCTGCACTGTTCAATGAATGAAAAGCAGTTTTGTCAATTTAATGATCACCAACACACACACACACACACACACACACACACACACACACACGTATAGACAGAGTAATTGCAGTAAGCCAAGAGCATCAGGCCTCTGCTCTCCATGTAGACACTAATGGAGAGCCATTAGCTCATAACAGCCTGCAGAGCAAATGAAGAGCTAATTAATACAGTCACATAAAGAACAGGCCAATGACACTGAAGGATGGAGGAGGTGAGAAGGGGATTTGAGTATACTGAAAAATATTACTTCCAAGGCAAATTTCAGAGCACTAGTTACAGGACTCAAACAAAAAAGGTAAATATACATTTTCAATTTTTTGTATATCATGTTTTATAAGTGTCATACTAAAACAAAGACAAGATTTCACCCTATATAGTTCTTTTGAGGCATCGATTCTTAAGAAATGGTACAAAACATGATATAAATCTGAAATTACATGAAAAAATTGTACTGAGATAAATTAAATGACATGTTTGTATTAGATGTACTAGGCTTATCTTGCCATTACTTTTTC